CATGCTGGAGTAATTTTGACAGATACTTGACTAGACTCTTGTTATAAGTATAAAAAGTTATTACCCAAAAATATAAAAATATCCTAACAGGGTTTTATTTCAGCATAGGCTTTAGTGGACTAGCGCTCACTCCTACAAATGCAATGTAGTATATCCTTAATTGGCAGACATTTAACTATGAAGTGTGAAAAAAATGGTAAACAGCAGGGCAAAGCGTGAAATGGAATTTTGTAAATCAAGGAAGTACAGACACCATTCACAAGAAGAGTAAAGGGTAATCTCTCTTGTTTTGCTAAGGCAACTGAATGGTTTTACTAAGATAGCTAGCACCTATAACTAAGGAATCCCAAGGCCTTATTCAGCCTTCAGGGGAAATTGTATCAAATCTTACAAAGTCTTTACAGCGCACCTGTAATTCTGTTTATTTGTGTAGCAACAGATTAACACAGCTAGTCCTCTGGAATTTTTATATTTTTAATATGTCCTTATTTTGATTTTCTAAAAATCTAGATTTGCATGTTGCTATTACCTGATGTTTCAGAATCAAAATATGAACAACTTCTTGAAATACAGACTTCAGTAAAGGAAAGGTATTGAGTTCTAGAATAATGTTCACAAGAATCTCTCTGCAATCTACCACTACACATGTTGCCAAGTATATTCCCTGTACCTTATTTTCAGATTGCAGAATCTTTTAAAGAGTATTTGCTGGAGTCAGTGAAGCAGAAATCAGTGGGGGGAAGTAAAGAGTTTTTTCATTGGATAATAATTATTGTTTCCTTTGTGTGTGTTGACTTGCTAGTTAAAAAGCAAGCCTGCTGAAACTTTTGATGGTCAGTACTTGGTTTCTTTCAGAAAATCAGTCAGTTTCCAACATATCACTATTTAGCATCATACTTGGTATTTACATAGCACTTTCTAGCATTCTGAGTGCCTCTACCGGTCTTGGAACAGTCCTGTCAGACCAGTAATCTCCCGGAATGGAGAAGGGGCTGAGGGTGGAAGAGATTAATTTGTTCATGGCAGAGGTGAGACTTCAGTCCATGACTAATGATTGCAAAGTACAAGTCATCTGTAACTTTTGCTTGCAGGAAAAATGGAAAACTATGAACTGATTCACTCCAGCAGAGTCAAGTTTATATATCCCAACGAAGAAGAAATTGGGGACCTTGCCTTTTTGGTAGCAGAGAAAATGAACAGTGTGGTTAACTTCCAGTCTCTGAACATACTCCTCTATGTGTTGGCGTTTCAAGTGAATGCTGCAGAAGGACATGTTCAGCCCAGCAGCTCCCTACAACCTAAAACGCTGATCTTAACCAGTTCAGATTTGTTTCTCTTTGATGAGGATTACATTGGTTACCCGCTACCTGAATTTGCCAAGGAACCACCAAAGAAAGATAAGTATCAGCTTGTAGACGGGAGGAGGATTCGTGATTTAGATCGAGTGCTCATGGGCTATCAGACATACCCTCAGGCTCTCACGTTTGTTTTTGATGATGTTCAGAATTTAGATCTCATGCAGAACCTGACCCTTGATCACTTTGGCAACGTTGTCAGTTTTCCAAAAGGGCAGGCAGCACAGGAGGTCAGCAGCAATCGAGAGATCCTGTGGTGTGTCTTTATCCCAAGTGCAGAAAGTCGTGAGAAGCTAATCTCACTACTTGCTAGGCAGTGGGAGATCTTATGCGGCCGAGAGCTGCCTTTGGAGCTCACTGGGTAGTTTTGTTTACAATATTATTTTAAAATGTATATTTTGTCAATTATTGCAGAGCTAAAAGGTTGGTTGGAAGTTTATGAATTAAAGCACAGTATTGAATTAAGCAGGGATTGGCATTCTCTTCACAGCAAAATAATGTGGCATTGAAGCTTGCCTGTGTATCACCATTATAGTTCCTTGTGCAGTGAAGAGGTTTTTTTAATAGTATAGTATAATCCACTAATGAGTTAAACTGGAATTTTTTAAACTCTATTTTTATGTAACAGTATATATTCAGGATTCCTAATTAAGCATCCCAGGCAACTGTATGGAAGAAAAAGGAGTCAAAGTAAACAAAATTTCATTTAGGGCTGTTGCGTTTCCACTGTGTTTTTGTAAATATATATATATATTTCAGTCTTGCTATTCTATACATAAAATGTGTAAATAATGGTAAAAGATGCTTGAGCTATGTCAAAGTGCAATGTTCTTTGTACAAGATGTATTTTATTGCCTATGCTGCTAACAATTATTTAATGATCCTTCAGATAATTTGTACATTTGTCTTTTTATGATATGTCAAATTGAATTTTGTTTGTTATGAATGTGTGTGATGGCAAAATTCACCCTTTAATCAAATGCTGCTTTTGCATCTGACAAACACTTTTAATGGTTGGGAATGTTACCAATTTCATTTTATCATCACAGACATGAAGACTGGACAGGATTGATAAGAGTGCCCTTGTTGCTGGCAAATAATGGTGCATTTGTATTTCAGAACACTGTTTCTGTTGCCAGTTTTCTCAGTACAAATAAAATGACATTTGACACAATTGCTCTTCTCACTTTGGTTCTTTTTTAGATATGTTTTTATGGTGCTGTCATTTTCCATGTACTTTGATCATATTGCAGGTCAGCAATACATCTGCCTTCCAAATAGACCATTGGCCTATGAAAGAGAAACCTTCAAGGGAAAAATAAAGAGGATCTGATACAAGTAGATACCATGAAGGGTTCACTTTAGCACAAAAATACATTTGAGGAAAAAGAGCAAGCTAGACGGCGTATACTCATAGGGAGTATTGTTTTATTTATTTTCTTCAATTTATATCCCGCCTTCCCTGCAAAGCAAGCTCAGGGTGGCTGTGATAATCTGCTAAGTGCAGATTTACAACAATAAAAACAAGATAGCAGAATACATACAATAAATACAATAACTACAGCAATAGATACTTTAAAATAAGTTATACCTCAACAGACACACGGGGAGAGGAGGAGGGATGCCAGATTTTGGATATCCACTGCCTCAACTGAAGGCCTGGTGGAAAAGCTCTGTCTTGCAAGCCCTGAGGAACTGTAAAAGCTCTTAAAAGGTAAAGGTTCCCTTGCTCAAAAGCCAGTCACATCCGACTTTAGGGTTGCAGTGCTCATCTCCGTTTCAAAGCCGAAGAGCCAGCGCTGTCCGAAGACGTTTCCGTGGTCATGTGGCCGGCATGACTAAACACCAAGGCGCACGGAACGCTGTTACCTTCCCACCGAAGTGGTCCCTATTTATCTACTTGCAATTTCTTGCTTTCGAACTGCTAGGTTGGCAGAAGCTGGGGCCAGAGATGGGAGCTCACTCCATCATGCGGCACCCAGGTCTCGAACTGCTGAACTACTGACCTTCCACAGCCTGCAGTTCAGCATCTTAACCACTTGAGCCACCGCAGCTCCTTGCAGGGCCCTAATTTCTAATGGCAGCTCCTTTCATGGCCATGGCCCTAGTTGAGGCAAGTCGGACATTCCTGGGGCCAGGGAATGTCAGCAGATGTCGATTCATAGAGCGCAATGCCCTCTGGGGCTCATGTGGGGAGAGGTGGTCTCAAAGATATATGAGCCTCTGGCCATATAGGGCTTTAAAGGTAAGAACCAGCATATTGAAACGGATCCGGTATTCAATAGGCAGCCAGTGCAGTTTGCGCAGCACCAGGTGAATGTGAGCCCACATAAGCAATGCCATACCCATGCTGCTGCATTCTGCACCAGCTGCAATTTCTGGAGCAGAGTGTAGGGCACCTCCTCGTAGAGAGAATTACAATAATCTAGCCTGGAAGTGACCATTGTGTGGATCGCCACAGCCAGGTCATGAGGGGTGAGATATGCGGCCTACTGCCTGACCCGCCTCAGATGGAAAAAGGCTGATCTGGCTGTGGCAGTGACCTGGGCCTCCATAGACAATGAGGCATCCAGGAACACTCCCAGGCTCTTCACCTTCAGTGCCAGCACCAACTGGGCCCCACCAGAGGCTGGGAGCATGATGCCCAAATCCCCATGGCCCAGGTGGAGGACCTCCATCTTCAATGGATTCAACTTCAGTCTGTTCTGCTGTAACCAACCAGCCATGGCCTGTGATGCCCTGTCCAGATGTTCAGAGTCCGGGCGGCCATTAGCAGATAGAGCTGGGTGTCATCAGCATACTGTTGACAACCCAGCCCACATCTCTGAATAATCTAGGCAAAGGGGTTCATATAGATATTAAATAGCATTGGGGAGAGAATCGTGCCCTGTGGCACCCCACATTCAAGTGGGTGTCACAGATAGCTTCCCCCCCCAGCGCCATCCTCTGTCCCTAACCTTGGAGAAAGGAGGCCAACCACTGTAAGGCCATATCCCCACATCAGCGAGGCAGTGGGTCAACAACTCATGGTCAACCATATTAAATGCTGCTGACAGATCAGAAGATGGACATGGGGCTTCCAGTTTTCTTATTATATCAAGCATGGCTGGAAGCTCATGGCAGAGTGCTAAGACTTTATCTGCAAAATGGCTCACAAACGCCTCACAGCCTATGTCCGATTCCTTGGCTTTTTGAATGCCCTGAGGCAACGATGTCAAGGACCAAATTATTCTAAATCATTGTGCCAGATGCGAGCTTGCAGATGTGATGGAGGCTGCATAGAAATTCTTCTTAGTAGCCTTCACCGCCATCTTGTAGGTTCTCAGAAACGACCATTAAGATGTTCTTGTGGCTTTGTCACAGGCTTGCCTCCACCTTCTCTCTAGCCATCTTAGTTCTTGCTTCATCCGCCTCAGCTCCAGGGTATACTATGGAGCTAATTTGTTGCAAGGGTGAAGAGGGCGCCTCCACATGTTTGTTCACCCCCTCAAAGACAGGCTCAGGGTGGCTGTGATAGTCTGCTAAGTGCAGATTTACAACAATAAAAACAAGATAGCAGAATACATACAATAAATACAATAACTACAGCAATAGATACGTTAAAATAAATTATACCTCAACAGACACATGGGGAGAGGAGGAGGGATGCCAGATTGAGTTGGATATCCACTGCCTCAACTGAAGGCCTGGTGGAAGAGCTCTGTCTTGCAAGCCCTGAGGAACTGTAAAAGCTCTTAAAAGGTAAAGGTAAAGGTTCCCTTGCTCGAAAGCCAGTCGAATCCAACTCTAGGGTTGCGGTGCTCATCTCCGTTTCAAAGCCGAAGAGCCAGCGCTGTCCGAAGACGTTTCCGTGGTCATGTGGCTGGCATGACTAAACACCAAGGCGCACGGAACGCTGTTACCTTCCCA